AAGCCCCCATTCCTGATGCCAGACACCATCTGCTCCAGGTGTCCAGGGCATCCTGTGCAGGTTCTCAAGCTTCCTCTGACTTTGAGTATCCACCCCCCACCCCAGGACCTGCATAGGCACATGAGCAAGGCTGGATAGGGTTCTGTGCCAGGGATTTTCTGCAGGCACTTCCTCTCCATCCCTCAGGATGTGACCTGGAGTCTCGGCTGTTGGTGTAGTGGGAACCAAAACAGGGCTGGCGGCAGCCCTTGTCCTCCACTCCATTCCCCTCTGAAACGGGATCTGCTGTGCTTAGAACACATCTCAGTTCCTTTCATGTAGCACTGAAACCAGATACTGGAATGTCTTTTCTTCAGCTAGACCAGGGGCTGCCAGAGGGCAGCAGCTGTATCTCCTGCATTTCTGTCCTCAGCAGGGTCCCTGGTATGTAATGGTGGTAGAGTTTCAGTGGAGTGGAGAAGGATGCTAGCTCTAGAACCAGACACCTGCATGCAAGTTCCTGCTCTGACTCTTACTGTGTGACCCCAGGCAAATTATTTTTTTTTTAAATTTTTTTATTTTTTTTATTTTTTTAGAAAGAGTGAGAGAGAGTGAGAAAGAGGGAGAGAGAGAGAGAACTTTAATATTTATTTTTCAGTATTTGGCGGACACAGCATCTTTGTCTGTATGTGGTGCTGAGGATCGAACCCGGGCCGCACGCATGCCAGGCGAGCGCGCTACCACTTGAACCACATCCCCAGCCCCCAGGCAAATTATTAAACTCTCCACATTTGCCCATTTTCTCAAAGTGGGAGTTGCAACAGGCTCAGCCTCAGAGCATTGTTGCAAGGACAGATGAGTGACTGAGGGTAAAATCTCAGCCAGTTCCTGGTACTGGCTGTCAGTTTTCATCATCCTCATCCTCATTATTATTTTTTAAAAAAATTTTTTAGTCGCTGATGGGCCTTTGTTTTGTTCATTTATTTATATGCAGAGCTGAGAATCGAACCCAGTGCCTCACACATGCTAGGCAAGCGCTGTACCACTGAGCCATAGCCACAGCTCCACCCTCATCATTATTAGTTATGTGCTCACAACCTGCCGGGCACTGTACCAAATGCTCTAAATAGATTATTTAATCATCAAAAACAATTCCACTTCTTAGAGGAAGATACCTGAGGTTCAGAGATTAAGCAACTTGCCCAAGGACCCACCAGCTGGTTAGTTTACCTGGGAGGCCAGGGCAAGTCTGGTCCAGCTGACTTGTGCTCTTAGCCCTGCCTGGTGAGGCAGGAGGGTTTTGGTTGGCTAGGATTGCTGAGGGAAGGAAAACAGACAATGCAGGGTGGCCCAGCCTCCAAAGCCCTTCTGAGGAAGCTCTTGTGTTTTCTTTGCAGGCTCAACCATAGGAATTATCTCTTGGAGTCTCCCCACAAGTTCAGTGTCGCTGACCTCCAGCAGGTAAACGTGTCCAACTCTCCCCAAATCTCTATAGAGAGGCCTCATTCCTGGAGAAATCAGAAAAAGAGATGGAAGAGGGGTGTTTCCGAATATTGAGACCAGATAGCAGTGTTCAACTTTTCACATCTCAGAATGGGCCTTCCTGCTGCCCCAGTACATCCTGGGCAGTGACAGACCCCCCTGGTTCCCTGGCAGGCAGCAGACTCTAGAATCCTGGGTTGAAAGTGTAGGACACTGCTTTGCTCAAGAGAATGGAGTAGATTTGGATCTCATCTGTAAATCCAGTAACTCCCCGTGACAGATACAGCCCAATTTGGGGAAGTCTCCTTGCTCATATAAGAGCTGGAGGCAGTTCCTCTCAGTGGGGAGTCTGGTGCCACAAAGCAGCTGCCTGAGGCCAGGCTTGTGCTTATCCCTACAGATTGCAGATGGGGTGTACGAAGGGTTCCTCAAGGCCCTGATCGAGTTTGCCTCGCAGCATGTCTACCACTGTGACCTGTGCACGCAGCGGGGCTTTATTTGCCAGATCTGCCACCACCATGACATCATCTTCCCCTTTGAGTTTGACACCACAATCAGGTATGCACGACACCCACAGCTCTGCACAGCACATTGGGAGTAGCCCTAGCCTTGCCACTCAGGAACAGTGAACATCCACTCTGTGTCAGAGCCCAGCTGGCAAAGTTGTCTGGTTCAACCCTGCATGGGCCTGGAGCTGCTTTTCAAACTGTGTTTTTAAAAATCACTTAGGGACACTCAGGCAGCACTTTTGAGAAGTGAAGTGGATGGAGAATCTCCATGCTTGGCATGGCTGTGATCTCATCATCTAAGGGTAGGGTAGGGGCTGCCAAGAAGAACACAGCCTCACTATGGGATTTGACCTGACCCCTGGCCAGCCCCAACACCAGGATGGCCTCTAGTCAACTGGCACAAACTGTGCACACTGCTCTCTCCCCAGGTGTGCTGAGTGCAAGACCGTCTTCCACCAGAGCTGCCAGGCTGTGGTGAAGAAGGGCTGCCCCCGCTGTGCCCGCCGGCGCAAATACCAGGAACAGAACACTCTAACCTAGGCCAATCTCCTCACCCACCCCAAGCCGTCCCAGCCGGGTTTGCCATCACCCCAGGCTCCACTTGGTGTCACAGTGTCTCCCCTTTTCAGGAAGACCCTCAGGTGTGACTAGAGAGCATGGGCCTCCCAGAGAAAGCCAGGAAGCCCAATGACATCCCATGGCCTCCCACCTCCCTCTGTCTCAGGAGCAAGGACACCACCAGATGTCCTCTGCTCAAGGCTCAATGGGGCCTTTCATCAGGCTGGGCTCACCTCACTGTCACACCTCCATTAGGTCTGTTCAAACACTGTGGAAATGAGACTTGGGGGACATTTTCAATTCCACATTCCTGATTAAAAGGTCTAGTTTTTTAAGGTGGGTTTTTTTCCCTTCATATTGCAACAGAAAGTATTTTTTTATTCCTGACCCTACACAAGTCACCCAAGAAACCCGGGCCTTCTCACCCTGGTGGATGTGCACACTTAGGCCTGGCCCGAAGGCAGGCAGCCAGCCTGTCATCGGACAGTGCCTTTCCTTCGTCCTTGCTGGCACTTGCTTCTGACAACTCCAGTGCCACATGCCAAACTGCTTCCAGCAGGACAAGGTCAGTCCTGATGACCACCTCCTTTCTCTCCCATCTCATCTTGACTTCCTATCCCCTCCCTTCTCACCTGGAAAGTCCTCCCTTTCTCAGAGTCAGAGCCCCCTCGCTCTTCTCTAGTCTGGAGTCATTGTGCAGAAGGGGAAATGACTCAAAACCAGCACTGTCAGCACTTTGAGCCTTCCTCGGTTGGGGGAAGGACTTCATCTTGCCCATTCTCCTCCCCCCACCCACCTTACTCCTGCAAAGATAGGCAGGACCTGCCTCAGACTGACTCTTGAGGTCACACCCCTGCCTGACTGACTCCTGAGTAGGCTGGACCCCAGAGAGAGCAGTGAGCCAAGGGCAGGGGCTGCCTCAGATGTCGTGACTGCCGAGCCCTACCCTGTGGAGAAGTGACCCTGTCCTTCTGCTGCTGAACTGTGCAGGGACATGCAGAGAAGCTATCCTGAGGGTGCTTCTGCAGCCTCAGTCTTACAAAGCCATGAATTCACAAAGCTGCCCTGGACTTGCCCAGCAAGGGTCTGCCAGGACTTGGAGAATTTCCTTGGAGTGGAATTGGTTTTTGAAGGCTGGATGGGAGCCTGGAGTTCCCCTCTAGGCATGTCTAGATCCTTGAAGTTTGGGGAGGGTGGGTGGTCTCTGCAGCCTTCCCCTCCTCTCCTGGATCCAGCAGGCTCCTCTCACTGTCTCACCTGCCCTCAGCTTGGAGTCAGAGGCCTCAGGTGGAGATGTACCTGTCACTGTCAAGAGGTGAGCCTTCCCCCATCCTCCCTGGAGTGATGGAGCTGCTGAGTCACCCACCCAGCCCCACAGGGTTGGATGAATTGTGCAATAGAACAAAGGAGACAGTAGGCAGGCAGCGGAGGCTGCCACATAGCTCCTGTGTCCCCATTGTGGAAGGTGGTGCACACCTGTGCCCAGAACACCAAAGCTTCTTGAGCCAGGAAGTGTGACCATATCCCTACTCCACCCACCTCCCATAGCCAGCATTAACTCTCCCCTGTAAACACAGCCTGATCAGAGCTATCACTGCCCCAGGTCCCTGAGTGGGCAGGAGTCTGGCCTGCTGTGGGCCTTGGTCCTGGGTGTACATTCCATATGGTGCCCTGGGAGGCAGCAGGAGTGAGGCCCTGATTGATGAGGCCTCCTCACCCCTGGGATTATGTGCATTAGAGCTGCCCTCTCCTCCAGTACCAAAAAGCTGCTAATGCTGTTGGATGAGTTGACTCTTACCCTCCGCCTCCAGTGGAAAGCCGAGGTGAACCTCAGCGGTGCCCACACTATTCTTAAAATGTTATTTTATGCAATAAACTTTCTAGAAAGTAGGGCTCTGGCCCTGAGATTTTGCAATGTATTGAAGGAACTGCAGCTGTGTGATATTTGAGTGATTTTGCAGTAAAGACCTGATCTTTCTAATCACCGTCTGACTTCTGAATCCTAACTCATGGGAGGTGGGGAAACCAGCCATCATAACCATTGGATGAGCCCCCCACTTACCCATTAGCCCCTGGGCACAGGGAGGTCTCCAGGTCACTGAAGAACACTTGGAGGCAGCAGCTATGTACCAGGAGTGGCCATCAAGAAAAGAGCCCATAAATGAGAGTGTACAGTCCCATCCTTCACGTCCAGGAGTTGAGATCCTCCCTGGGATGGGATTTCAGGGACTTTGGGGAGGTTCACTCATACATTCATCTGTGACAACTGAAGCTGACTCCCCCATGGCTTCTTTTCCTGCGCCTTAAATGTCAACACAGCCCCTTGACACTGATCATGGACACGGCAGGAATTCTTGGAGAAATAAAGCAGTGTGGAAGGGATGGGTGGGAGGGGAGCAGGTGACTTGAACAGAGCCCCAGAATCATGAATCTTGGATTTAGGGCTCAAAGTGGCTTTTATTTGGTTGCCAGCCTTTCTCACAAGTTCCACAAGCCCCTGGGGTTGGGGTGGGGGGGACTCTAGGGGGAAGCCCCCCACTGTCCATGTAAGAACAAAAGAAGGAAACAGACTTAATTCCCAGAAAGTCAGTTTGCAGGAAAATGGAGCAGAAAAGAATAACATTCAGGTCTGCAGTTTCCTGCCATTGAAGATCCCTTTCAACCCATCATGGAAACCCTCTGCCCATCCATGAGCCCCAGCTTCCTCCAAGGGTCTTCCCTCTTCCAGGGGCAGTAGATGGTAGGCCCAATGATGCAAAGAGGAACTGGGTTTGAGGGCTGGGGGAGGCAGGCCCAGGGGAGGGCCATGGGCATGGGAGCTCATGCTGCCCTGCCCTTGGACTCAACCCAAAATACCTTTAAGGCCACATGTTTCCCCTTCCTCCCTTTCTACCTAGAGAACGGGAGGTTTGGAGATCACAATTCAACCCCAAAGAGCTCATCTCAGTAAAAGTAGTAATAATAATGAAGTGTGTGTACTTGCCACTGTTCTTAGTGCATCTCATTTTATCTTCTCAGCAAGCCTATAGTAGGTAGGTGTTACTATCCCCAGTTTATTGGAAAGAAAGCTGAGATGCAGACACAAGTCAGTACTCACAATGTCTAAAGGCCAACACAGGACAGAGCTGGACATCAGCCTGCTAGACCCCAAACAAGGAGTACAACCACTACCAGCCACTGCCATCCTGCCTAGCCAGGACAGATGGGGAGACCTAAGAGGTGGGGTGGAGGGAGGGTCCAATCCAGTCACTATTTTCTAAGTATGCAGGGCAATGCTGAGTTTTGCTGTGACTGCCTCGGGGATCTTAAGATGCCATCAGAATTCAGATGCACTGAGATTCTACTAGCACAAGGAGAACTCACTGGTGGGCAACCCCTCACAGGGTCAAAGATGTGGAGGAAACGGGGTTCAAGAAAGAGCATGGCCAGATTCAGTTTCCAATCAAACGCTCAACTCACCTGAAGTACCCAGCTCTCAGCACAGCATCTAAGGGAGAGGGCACAACTGTTCCTGCCACCCTGAGAGCTGGGGCCCACTGGGGCTGGCTTGCCCAAATCTGGAGTTAGTGCAAGGTCAAGTCACAGGAGCAAGCTTGCTTTTCCCAGAGGCAGCAGATTCCAAAAGATAAGACCTCCAAGTGGAGGGCCCTGGAACTGGACTCGAGATGCTGGCCTTCAGGAGATTGTTCTAAGCTTACCCAGCCCACAGATCAGATCTGAGGGTATCCCTCCTCCCCTACAATATTGGGGGGAGGGGCGTGAAGGGAGGGAAATCTGGCCAAGAGAATTTAGTGGGAGGCTGCCACCCTCCTCATCCCACCATCCTGGCCCAGCTGCCTCCTCCTCCTCTCTGAAGACAGCCAGGTGTGGCCCAGGAGGTGTAGGGGGGAAGGGGTGGTGTCTCTGCTCCAGAGGCACTGGCCCGGCCCAGAGGGGACAGGAAGCTAGGACACCGGGGATTGTCTCTCCCAACCGCAGCCCAGCCCCAGCCCGGGAGGAAGTTTCTGCCGAGTGCTCTCCGTCGGTGCCTCCCTTGTTATATTGTTGAACAGGAAACAGGGCAGCACGGGAGCCGGGTGGTGGAAGAGGGAGCACCGGACACCGAACCCTCGCGCGTCTGTCCGGGCAAGTGGAAGCGAGGCCAGCGGACCGACGTCCTGAGGTGCCAG